ATCAATTAAAGGAGCTTGGGAAACTTAGGAAATCAGAAAAGGAATTAAAAAACAAACTACAAGAAACTAAGGAATGTTACAGAACCCTAAAAAACGAAATTATGAGACTGGACAAAGAACTTGAAGAAAAGAAGGATGAGATACAGAAACTAAAGGAACAAAGCAAGGACTATGAGGAAAATAATATACTATTAATGGGTGAATTGGAAGCACAAATGGAAAAGGTTGATAATATACTCAAAATGACAAGTAAAGAAAACAATTGTGAATATTTGGATCTGGAACAGGAAATAAATTGTTAGATATAGTAAAAACCTGATTAAAAATGTATTTTAAAGTATTAATGAAAAAGATTCTTAAAGGAAAAACATGTATAGCCTCTTAGTGCTATTTTAAAGGATAATATATTAAAAATAAAGTATATATTTGAGAAATAAACAAGGAGGATTTTATGTTCTTAAAGAAAATGATAGTAAAATCAAGGTTCACGTGATGTCAACGAGTATAAATAGGGGAAGATTTGAACCAAGATACCTGTAATGCAACAACAAATAACCATAATAATAAACATATCCCTTCATTAATGATCTCAAGGAGTGCACTAGTAACAATAGTCATCCTAGGAAGGATTGAAGCCACCTAAAAAGGAGGTGTGTAAGGGACTTAAGACTGTTAATGAACTTATAAGACACATATACAATAAACTCAAAAAGAAGGCATAGATATTGCCAGAAGAAGCCATGATTAAGGAAAGGTGCTTGGATATTCATAATCGAGTGGGAAAAGACCCCAGGATTGAAGGAAATGTTTCTTTGAAAAGATGGAACCTTCTTTAAGAAGATAAACTCTCTTGAAGAAAGTATGATTTTATGAAAGAAAGACAGAAAGCAAAAATGTTGAAGACAGAAAAACTAACAGCAGAGGGTTGCTGACCCAACCAAGGGAGGTTGGAAAATAGATTATGGAATTCTTGGAAGGAGGGTTTCCCTGGAAAAATTGAACTCTCCCTGAGAAAGAAAACCTTCTTTAAGAAAGTAAAACCTTCTCTAAGAAACAAAATTTTGAAACAAGACTAGCAAAATATTCAATTTTGGATCAAATATCTTGAATATTCAATTCTAATCTTTATTGATGAACAGTAAGAACATGGAAGAATCCTAAAAATATAAAGAAAACTATGGCAAAACCTTCTTGGAGAAAGAGAAAATCTTGGAAAATCGTCAAAAGAGACTTTAATTGAAAATTGTGAAAGGATTTATTAAGTAAACTAATGAAACACCACTAATAAGACTTGTAGAGAAGCAAGAGCACTTTAAAATAGGACATGTAAGAACCTTGTAGACATTACATAAACGAAGAGATCTTGAAGATCATTCAATTTACTATACGAAAGTGAAAATAGGTTATAATACAAGTCGAAGAAATAAAACGAAAACAAAGATCTAACAATACAAAAGACAAAAGAGGTAAGGGAAAATAATTCTATAAATTTTAAAAGAAATCTAATCACAAGATAAAGAAATACAAGAGAAGATCACATTTGGGAAAATCGATCATAATAAAGGACTTGAAGAAAAATTTGAATAATTCAAGAACCAACCAGCAGAATTGACTGAAACTTTACATAAAGTTTGAGACATACTAGTAGAACAATTTTGCAAAAGGAAATTGAAATCTGACAGTTGAATAAAAATCTAGAAGGAAAAATGATTCTTTGAGATCTTCGAAGATCAAAAGAATCTTGAAGAAGAAATTGAATCTTTTGAAAAAATCCTTATGTAACTCAAAATCTAACACCATGAAAAGTTTGTAACACTTATAAAGAAACTTTTCACCAGAGAAAATTAAATTTAAACCATGCACAAAGAGGTTACTCAAAAAAAGTGAATCGTGATGAACTTCTGATCAAATCTATAAGAAATGAAAATGTTAATTATTAAAGAAATTTCAAAGGAAAATTGAAAAACTAAAATAGTGAACCTTTAAAGACTCTTCAGAACTTGAGAATGATTGGGCAGGATGTTACGCAGACATCTGGAAGATGAGAAAAGATAAAATTTAAATCTTCACCAATCTCAGCGAAGGATGACAATCACAAAGAAGAACGCCATGCAGAAGTTACATGAACATCTAATAATAAAAACAATCAAGTAATGATATGTTACACAACTAATAAATAATATGGCTGGTACCATGGGTTACACAGTAATACAAGATAAGAAAGTATAAATAGAATAAGGGTGACGCAGATAAGAAAACAGCTCGTAGTACTATGAACTTTAACTAAAAAACAAGTTTAAGGAGAAAAAATATTAAGAAAGGTAGTAATAAGCTGATAAGAAATCATAGATAAATCTGTGCAAAGAATATTTCTATATAAGAACCCGAGCCAGTAAGATGTACGAATACAAAAATAACATGAAAATATCAAGAAAATCTAAACAAAATAGTGATGACAATGAACAAAAGAAAAGTTACATCTTATCTATCAACCCATTTGATGACATTTTCATGTAACCTTGATGCATCTATCTTAGAATCTCAAGGCGAAGAAGGGGTCGAAGGAGCCAACGTCATGAAAAATAGGTCAAAAGACACTCTCGTTCAAGAAAACAAATAAGAAAATCGGAAAGCGAAAAGCCCGAGTACAAAGAACAGCTCAAAGAAACAAGAAACCAACAAAAGATACACTAAGAATAGAAAGGGAGCGTACCTTTAATATATTCGATAACCTTCAGCACAATAATAATCACTATAGAGATATATCGGAGAAGGACAGTCTTCAAATACTCGGAAAAATTTGTAAAGCAAAGGGAGTTGAGAATATACGCGATACAATATTACGAGATAAAGGGACAAGTCAAAGATACTTCTAAGAATGAGTTTATAATTTACAAACAAAATTATTTCAAAAATATCACAAATTTTTAATAATAAGTTCTCTATATACTTTTCGTAAAACTTTATTTCACTAGAATCATTGGAATCTAATGGTATTACTTTAATAATCCTTAGATGAAAGAGAATAAGAAAAAGGATTACACTAGTGATAGGATGAAAAAATTTGTTTAATGTATTATAGACAGACATTTTTGGGAAAAGGATTTTGAGAAAGAAGAGACAGAAGAAGATAGACGAGAAGAAATGTCGCAACATTTAAATCCTTAAAACTTATCTAAGATCTAGCATATATGTTTGTAACTTTAGAACTTTGTACATGTAATATGACAGAAATGTAACATCTTAATAAACATTTGTATGAGAATATCTTTATTAAAAACCTAAATTGAGACCTTCGTGAACCAAAATATCCATAATTTGATTTTGTAATAAACGACATTGGTCAGAAAGATAACGGATGTCCCAGTAAGCTTGGGAATTGGAATCATGAAGAGACTCCAGATCGAACGAATAATAATACGCATTAAAAGAATCTGAACAAGTATTAGAGTGAATAATAACGATTTAAGCAAATTAATATTTGAAAGAGAAACAAACCCATAGTTCTAAGATATTCAATTGCGAGGCTATTGACTCTAATAAGTGCCTCAAAGTTGACAGAGAACAATGGGACAGTAGTAACCAAATGACGATGAGGGGCATCATAGGAAATCGGAAAGCAATAATTGCAATCCGGACAAATGATAATTGTCGGATTAGGGATTAAAAGGACCAGAAAGGTAAGAATCATTGAATAATGATACAATAAATTCAAAAGAAAAACGAACCAAAGAAGAATTGATTATCGAAAAGATCTTGAAGATCAAGATCAGGAGAATTATTCGAAGCATTGTTGGAATTGTTGGATTGATTGTTGGACATGGTTGACAGTAAAAGAGCCATGAGAAATAACACAAATGTCTTTAAATAATGACATTAAAGTTTAAGAATGCGTGAGATTGTTTATGAAAAAGGAATTAAACTAAAGATGAAACAGGAACCAGCAAGCAAAAATCTTTTAACAGGATCAACACAAGATCAATGATCTTAAAAATGATGCAGTAAAACATGTGATGATAAAATTTATTTTTAGAATTTATTTACAGAATAAAATTATTGCGAACGAATACATTGATAATTTCATTCTCTAACTCATATTGGTGACTTAAAAAATAAACATTTTGATCCAGAGAGAGACGGGGATCGTAAAAAGAATGGCGGTTAGTGATATGATGAATTCGAGAGATAAGACCTGAAAAGAAATAAAAGAAAGAAAAATATTAAAGTACCTATCAAAAGAAAATATGAATAATAAAGGACTCAAGGATGAGGCAACATCAGTAATAGTCAAGGGTGCCTACTCAAAGCAGCTAGACACCTACGCAGCTGAAAAACGCAGGCGAGTAGTGTGAGCTAGACGTGATTATCAAAAGAAGAAACAAAGCAAAGGGGGATAATCATGATACCCTGACTACACCATAAACCTAAGGGGAACGTACACACATAGGGATGTTGAACCTCCGGCGAGAAAATATTAAAAGAAAAGTGATAGGTACCTTGCAGTCAGTGATACCCCAAAACCAAACGATCAATATTGTCGACAGTAGAGAGATAAGGGGAGAAACTGGGAGAATGACAAAAGTAGTCACGAATATGGATCATACTTGGAAGATACCGATCACATTGAGGACATGAAGGATCTGGAACTAGATTATGAAAGGATAAGGATAATACTGTATTGACAGAAATAAGAAAAGAAATAATAAACAATACACACCATCACGAAGGCAGTCAGTAAACAATCGAGACTGATGGGGGCCAAAGTTATTTCGACCACGAGGATGAGCATAAGGATTACCAGAGAAACTGGAACGAGGAGAGCAACGATGGTTGGTCATACTTAATGAGAGTGAGGAAACAACAAAGGGAAAACACATTCTTAAATAACAGGATTAAGGTTCAAAAAAGAAACTTTACAACAAACAGGATGCGTAAACAAACACAAATAAAACGTGTCACAAAATTTTATTATGATTGACAAAAAAATTAAAAATGGAAACTATGATGGCGAGACGATCCATCCAATTCAAAATATTCCAACAAATCGATGTAACTGTCCTGCAATATAAGGAACTCATGAAGAAGGAAACGAATATTTTGATCGAGGGAGACGGAGCGATCATAATGATCAAAGTTATCGAGGTTCCTACGAATATGGTCGTACATCTCTGAAAAGGATGAAAGAAATGAAAATTAGAGTACCTATCAGCAAGAAAATGAGACACTATATTGATATAATTGAGATTCACCCAAGAACATTGTTGAAAGGGAGCCAAGAGAGTGTCTAAAATCTCAAGGAAGGGTGAATTACACGTAAAAACAACCACGTTGAAAAATTCAAAAAGAAGGAGGACGCGGTCATAGAACAATCATGTCATAAAAATCCTGAGGGGAATACCACACAGCCCAGAGCGATACCAGTTTCTTAGAAGAAAAAGGGATAAATAGGGTATAATAGGTACCTCGGGACTCATTAAAATAACGGTTCAAATTGGCCGCCAAGGAAATGCTGGGATTGTAACGACGAAGATGCCTGCGAAGGATGTCCTGAAGATCAAATATTTCACCCATGTACACACTACACCGAACACAGAACATATGGCGATAAAATGTAGGAATCTGATGGAAGAGATTGTGCCCTCGAGTACGACGACCTCTGTCATAGTAACGATGATTCCAGGACTTTAAAAGGATGTTGCTATAATGACGGTTGTATGACATGATCTGGCATAAAAAGGATAAGATACATTAGAAAAAAGGGACAAAACGATAGATTCAATAGATATTTACTGAGAAGAATTGTTTATGCGAAGGATATAGAAGGAAAGAAAAGGAAGATTTTTAAGGTTTAAATACTGACAAAAGAAAAAATGTAAACAACAATTAGGTTTAGAAAACATAGACAAATCTAGAAATAAACACGTGAAGACAAAAATAGCTTTGTACTGATTTGGATATAAATAACACGTGAGTCGAGGAAAACATGAAAACGTATAAAAAAACTGATGCGACGTGACTCTAATGATGAATTTATTAAAAATACTTTAAATAAAACAAATAAAATGATTATAATGAACTATGTCGATTTATCCGATAACTAGGTATTGCCCTAGAACGAGGATGCGTCAGAGCACGATAATGACTAATTAATATTACAAAATTTTTCTTTAGGGATAGCCCGGGATTAAACCCAAAGGAATAATGCGAAAGATAATCCCGGAGATGACAGTGAAGGTACATAGTATGATAACAATTCGGACAGTATCGACCTTGGAAGCGATTACTGATACGATGAAACATAGAGTCACAATAAGAACATTCGCTAACCATGCGAGGAGAAGCCCGACTGTGACGACGAAGATGACGAGAGATAGGCATTATCTTCTGAAAAATAGTTATAAAATTTATAAATAATTTTCATAAGAATCGTGATAAATAAAATTAAGAAATTTTTCCATTTCAAATGAATACTACCATTCCCCCTACTTCTTCTTCAGATTCTCAACAAGTTGTTCTGGATCCAATTCCTGATTCTGTTGCTGATAACTTGAATACCGATAATTTGTTTGACGAAGGTGTCGCTTCGTCCTTATTCCCTGATATCTAGTGGTTCTCGTAGTTCTCAAACAAAATTGTATTATTAATTTTCCAAATAAAGATTCATTAATTTCATATGCCATTAGTTTAATTGGTTCTCAGCTGTTTTGTTCTGAGATTTCTGTTTTACCCTTCTTTAAAGTTTATCGATTGATTCGTTATTATGTTAGCTTTCTCTTGTATTTTCGATGATGTTACTGTCCTTTCCTTGTGACTGTCACAAGGGATCTTACGTCATACCTTTTGCGTCCTTTCCTTTCTATTATAAATACCTGTGATTCCTGACAATCTTTCTCTCATTCAAGTCGATTCTTTGCTAAATAATTATTAGTTAGAGATCTATCATTCTAATCCATTCTTTAAATTTTCCTAAACCTTTATCACTAAATTTTCCTAAACCTTTATCACTAAAAAATCAATTCTTCTGTTAGGATTTTTTGATGACTTCCCCTGAAGTTATATCATTATTCGTATATGCATATTGCATTTTTTCTTTTCTGATTATTTTATTTTTCATCACATATTTTGTCTGGTCTAATTATTCCTTTCTTAATGATTCCGTATTTAACCATGCCCTTTTCCCTAATACTTTTTGGTATTCATATCTTCATTTGGTTGTTTCCAAGCATCGTTCCAAGGTTGCTTATGACCTTGGGCCATATTCTTCTGTTTCTCAAGTCTACAATTATTTTTCCGGATACGATTTATTATTCTTTCCTCGAGTCATATTCTTGGACTCTTGTATTTCCTGTAAGGTTCATTTTGATTCTATTACGTATCCTGATAGTACTGGTGAAAGTCTCGAGGCCCTTCGTTCTTTTATTATTCAGGATGAGTCTCATCGTAACCATTCTTGAAATATCTATTCAGCTTATCCCTTTCTTATTCACATTCATCGATTATATGAAGGATATTATTTTGTTTAATATGCCTGCTTGATACCTAATTATCTCATAAAGAGTAAAGGTATTAAATAGGCTTTATTCTCGTAAATTTGTTCCAAAAATGTTTATTATTTTCCTGATCTATATTACTATTATTCTAATTCTTTTTATCTTGACATCATTTCTAGTTACTTATTATTGCGTTTATTATGGCACACCTTTTCGTGATCCCACTATTTATGCTAATGCATTCCCGAGGGCTCGAGGTTTCTCTTATCTTAGTATGGTTAAGCCCAAATTCTATTCAACCGTTGCTTCAGACCTTTTACCATTTCCTACCTCTTTCGAGGTCATTAAATATTTCTCAGGATTCCACCTTTTCATTTTTCCCCGTACTTGGTTTCTAGACTATGATGCCCTTTTGTGTCTTGAGTCTATTGTAGAACATTTAGATGGGGACGGTCGCATGATTTATTACATTAAAATTCTTCAATCTCGTGATTGTCATAGACATCATTTGTTCATTTATTCCGTTCCCGAACTATTTCGCGTTCTAAGGGTATTTCATAAAGATATTATTATCGGTTAAAGTATAATTCTCAATTGCCTGCTCAATACTCAATCATTCCTTCGGGTGAGGGTATTGGGTAGGCTTTCTTTGCGCAAGTTTACTCAAAAATGTTATCAATTATATTTGCTATTTCATTCACCATTATTTTTATTGCTTTTGTATTTTCAATTATTTTCTTATTTTATTCAATTTATCCCTTTTGTCTCCCTTATTGACTCTGTGTTGATTGTGACTGTTAACTGTATCATGTTACTCCTCTTTCGATCAAGAGTTTCTCGTACCTTCTTTATATAAAAAAGAAGTTTCATTCTCAAGTGGTCCACGAATTAGGTTCCTTTCCCCAGGTCTCCAGGTTTATCGAGTACATTTCTGTTCGTCCGGAGTTCATAATGGACCAGCCAATGGCTATTTCAATCTTCTGAGATTCAGTTCGTGATTCTTTCCTCCTTCGTTTATATGATATGGTGGAGAATCCATTTCCGAATCCTCCTGGAAGTCTTTCATATGAGAATCCATTTCTTGAG